AGGACCCTGAGATCATGACCTGAGCCGAAGGCAGACGCTTAACCGACTGAGCCACCCAGGTGCCCCTCCTATCTCAGTTAATGGCAACCACATCCCATCCCTTGTTAGAACACACGTTTGGGAGTCCTCCTTGATACTCCTATTTTCAACCCTTACCCAGTGCCTCAGGGAAATCCCATTGGCTTTTTCTTAGAAAGCCCATCCAGAATCTGACCATTTCCTCCCACTTCCACTGATCCCACCACAGCCTAGGCCACTGGCATCTCTAGTGTGAATAACTGTAACAATCTCTTCACTAGTCTCCCTGCTTCCACCCTTGCTTCTCTGTGGTCTACTTCAGTGAGGCAGCCAGCGAGTTCCTAAAAATTTAGGTCAGATCATGTCACTTCTTCACTCAAGTGAAGTGATCCAGTGATTTCCCCACTTCGTTCAGAATCAAAGCTAAGCCCTACCCAAGTCCCGCTCTTCTAGCCCTCACCTCTCCGACCTCAGGTGCTACGACTTTCACTTTCACCCACTCTGTTTGGCCCACACTGGCCTCTTCCCTGCTCCTCCAATGTGCCAGGCACGCTACTTCAGACCTTTGAACCGGCTGTGCCCTCTGTCGGGAAGCTTTCCCACCAGATAGCCACATTATTAACTCCCTCGCAGCTTTTGAGTCTTTGCTCAAATGTCACTTCGTGGTGAGGCTTACCTATACTGGTTTTTAAAAATTACTCTCTCTGTCCCTGTGGCCTGGCATTCCTGGTCTTTCTACCCAGCTGTTTCTATCCCTGCAAAAAGCCAACCTTCTACTGTACCATAAATTTTCCTTTTTTATTATGTTTATTCTCTGTGTTCCATTCTACATCTATGAGAACGTGATCATTTTCTCAAAAGAAGGGATTTTGGTCTTTTTGGTCACCATTGTATCCCCATCCCTAGGATAGCACCTGGAATCCAGTAAGCACTTAAAAAATATTTGAATAAATGAATTGAGGGAATATTAGTAAATATCTGTCCCTTTCCTACTTCTACCACTGAATGTATAAGTTGTTGCTACTATGATTAATAATGCACTATTAATGCCCTAGACAAATATTTCTGAAATTGTTGTATAGGCTTGAAAGTTTGTGTTATATAATTTTATATTAAGTCTCCAATTTTGTTATGCTGTTGATTTTTTACAAACACTCTTGGGCAAAGAAAACATTCTACCCAACCTTGTCTGAAACATTGTAAGTTCAAATTAATAATAATTTGGCAGGTCGAAATTAATAATTTCTTAACCATATGTGAAAAGCAAGGAACTTTTTTAGAAAAGGGCTTATACAAATGTATGGAAGTTGGTATTATTATTTTACATTTTAAATAAAATTTTAATAATAAACTTCTGATGCTAAACTAAATTCTTCTTGTAGAAAATTAAAATGCAGAAAATTATTAGATAATCACTTATAACCCCTGCATCTATTAAAAATTTGGTTCCTTCTTTTGAGTTTTAGTTCTAGGAATGTTTTCTGTGCATGTGTGTGTGAGCATGTGTGAGCAGAGAAGTATTTATGTGTGTGTGGGGGTGTTTGTGTGTGTATGATACAGGACTGGTCATATTTGCATATTCAGTTTTATATTCTGTTTGCTTTATCTTAGATTTATCACATGCATTTTTCTATTCCACTGAAAGCCTGTAAACCTTTTTTCTGTGGATATACCATTTACGTACCATCTGTTCCCCTACTGCTGGGCATTTGTGCTCGAAATATTTTGCCACTCTAAGTGGCAATATGATAAATCTCTCTCTGTCTTAGCCTACTTCTCTCACCACTGCTTTGACCCTTAAACTCTGAGAATTCTTAAAAGTGGAGTTTCCAAGGGGCGCCTGGGTGGCTCAGTCAGCTGAGCGTCTGCCTGCGGCTCAGGGTCCTGGGATCGAGCCCCCATGTCAGGGTCCCTGCTCAGCGGGGAGTCTGCTTCTCCCTCTGCCTCTGCCCCTCCCCCAGGCTCATGCACGCACGCATGCACTCATGCGCTCTCTCGAATAAGTAAATAAAATCTTAAAAAAGAAAATAAAAGTGGAGTTTCCAAGCCAAAGGGATTTTTTTTTCTTAAGTAGGCTCCACGCCTAGTGTGGAGTCAGCCCGACATGGAGCCAAACGCGGGGCTTAAATTCACGACCCTGAGATTAAGACCTGAGCTGAGATCAAGAGTCGGACACCTAACTGACTGAGCCACCCAGGCACCCCCAGGCCAAAGGGATTTTAAAGCTCTTAATACATGTTGCTCAAGTGCTTTCCAGAAAGTGGCAACAGTTTACACTTCCACTTGAACTGTATGTGACGGCACATCATTACTTTGGTAATATCTTACTTAAATTTGCATCTCTTTGATTACTTATATTTTCTCTTCCTAGAATTTCCTGGTCATGCATGTGCCTCTTCTTTTAGAAAGAGGGGCTAGCTTCATACTATTCCTACTGGATTACAGGAGTTCCTTTAAATTATGCATATTAACTCTTTGGTTCATGAGTGTAAGACCTGATGGCAACACTCTAAATAAGAGGTGAGTTTATTTTTGATGCAGCTCTAATTGCTAAGTCAGATTACTAATTACTAGGTTGTCAACTGGATACAGAAGTATTAATTTGCATTTCATGCTAATGCTAATATATAATTCTTTTTTTTTTCTGGATTTATTTTTTATTGTTATGTTAATCACCATACATTACATCATTAGTTTTAGATGTAGTGTTCCCTGATTCATTGTTTGTGCATAACACCCAGTTCTCCATGCAGAACGTGCCCTCTTTAATACCCATCACCAGGCTAACCCCATCCTCCCACCCCCCTCCCCTCTAGAACCCTCAGTTTGTTTTTCAGAGTCCATCGTCTCTCATGGTTCATCTCCCCCTCCGATTTCGCCCCCTTCATTCTTCCCCTCATGCTATCTTCTTCTTCTTTTTTTTTTCTTAACATATATTGCATTATTTGTTTCAGAGGTACAGATCTGAGATTCAACAGTCTTGCACAATTCACAGCGCTTACCAGACCACATACCCTCCCCAGTGTCTAACTAATATATAATTCTAAGATGCATGTCTTAGTTTGTAAATCAGTTTGTTAAACTTACCACCGGAAGGGGTACCAAAGAAGATAATATATTGCTACTTTTTATAGGTATGATTTAATGCTAATAACCATATCCTTATGGATTACATAATAATTCACCAAAAGCTATAATGTGTATATAGAGATGATAAAGAATGATAAATAGCAGGTTTATGACTTTATAAAGGGAAAGCTTACCATACTGTCACTGGGATAACAATTATTCCTACCTATTGGTAGCGGTTAGACTAGGTCCCACTTTTCCTTCTGGGGCCACAGTGACGAAGACCGTGCCACACTGGAGGACAATGTCCACATATACATAGCCAAAGCCAGTCAGGAACACAACCTGTGAGAAGAATATTCAAAATCTGATTAAAAAGAAGTAAGAAACACTACTGAAATGGTTGCCTTCAAATGTCTTAAGTTCTGATTCGATGCCACAAACACTTGCTGGTTATATTTCTTTATATCTATGTGTGTAGGCTATTCAGCTGCCTTGAAAAAAAAAAACAACAAAAAACAAAAAAGAAAGAAAGATCAAATCCAGATTTTTCAATATCCAGCTGTAAGGTTCAGAGCAAAAAACAATGATGGATGACAGGGCATGAGTGTCTTCATTCTCTGCTTCTTTGGAATTGGCAAATAGCTCTGTGTGGGCTGGAGCCCAGCCATGGGCTGGCTTTATGTGTGCATATGAATCTCTGTGGAAAATAATCCCCTGAAACTCAGGACTTGAAATGCAACATGCAAAAAACTTTCAGACTCTTGAGTGTTGACTTACTACCATGAGGATGCCCTTCTATCCTGGGGACACAGAAACGTACCAGAAAACCTACCATGCCATAATCCTCTCAAGGCCCCTCAGTCCCTCACATAACTTGTAACAATAATGTCAGATAACTTCATTTGCCTGGAGTCAAAATGAATTTTTCTTCCACGGGAAGGTGGACTAAGCCCCAGAAAACTTCCATCTCAGAAGCCAGGTGCCAGGCCAGCAGTAACAGATGTCCTTTTAGCATTAAATAGGTTGCTTAAATGGATAAATATCTGAAAGCAGAACAGAACTGTTTGAAAAACAACTCCAAGAACATCATGTTCACAGCCAGCACTACCTGAGAGTAGGGGCAAGAACCTCCAGTGTTTGGGAATGTTGATTTTGATAACTTGCAGTATCAGTTCAGTCCAAGTCTGGGCCCTTTATTATTGCTAGGACAGTAAATAAAAGAAGGCTGAAAATTCCTGGATGAAGGAACAGAGCTCGGTGCCTGCCTGACAGGGAATGAATGTACTCTAATTCTGACCGTATGCGGAGGAACTGGAGAGAGAGTACACAGAACCGCAGGAAGAGAGTCACAGGCTCAAACTGGGACGTGACTTCAATGTCACCGGGCTTCTTTCGTGCACGAGGGCGCCTCCTTCAGAAATCCTGACTGCGTGCAGCACCCTGGCCCGTGCGGCTGGCCATCACATCTCCCGCTCAGCTCCTGCAGTGTGGTGGCCCTCAGATGCTCCCCCTCCGCAGGCCCCTCCCCTAGTGCCTTCTCTTCCGTCCCACGGCCACTGCTTTAGCTTAGGCCCTTGTCTGCCACTCGGCACCCCTGCGCCCCTCCCCACACGGGTCCTTTCCAGATCCTGTGTACCTTTGCCCATACTCCTTAAGGACACCTTTCTCCATGAAGGTACTCTCTAGGTTTCTTATTCCTTTCCTCAGCTTGATACTTACTCTGACATCCCTAAAGTACTTTAACCATATTTCTGTTTGGTCACAAATCTGTATTGTTTGCAGCACAGTCACCTGTTTATACACCTGACCCAATGACTAGATTGTCAGTTTGATGGCAGGAGTGGAGTCTGTTCTCTATGGACGTGTTTCCCAAATGGATTGTTTTGCAAAAATATGTTTCTAAAGACCCTGTATCTTGAATTTGCCTTATCTGTTCTAAGGTAAAAACTGAACTTGGGGCGCCTGGGTGGCTCAGTCGGTTAAGCGTCTGCCTTTGGCTCACGTCATGATCCTGGAGTCCTGGGATCGAGCCCCACACTGGGCTCCCTGCTCAGTGGAAAGCCTGCTTCTCTCTCTGCCTCTCACCCAACTCGTGCTCACGCTCTCTCTCTCAGAAATATAAATAAAATCTTTAAAAAAAAATTGAACTTGACTAGGACAAAATCTGGAATGGCTCAGCTCATGAATCTAAAACAAAACAGGTATTATTTCAGAAACATTCACATTTATTATTTTGTGTGATATACAAAGTAAGTCAACTGCTTTTTTAAAAAAGATTATTTATCTGAGAGAGAGAGAGAATGCATGATGTGAGAGGGGGAAGGGCAGAGGGACAGGGACAGACGCAGACTCCCTGCTGAGCGTGGAGCCTGAAGTGGGGCTCGGCGTGGGGCTCCGTCCCATGGCCCCGAGATCATGAACTGAGCAGAAATCAAGAGTACTGACTGAGCCACCCAGGCGCCCCAAGTCAACTGCTTTTTTTTTACTAGGCTTATAGATGTGGGATTATTCATTTGGCACAAACCTTTCTAAGGCCCTGTGCTCCCTCCCATCTGTATTTCCCTCTCTCAGTGACTGTAACTTCAGTGCATGTCCCAGGGTTTTAGGAGAGAACTATCAACCCTCAAAGGAGGGAGGGAGAGGATCAAAAAGGGAAATATTTATTGCTGTGTTCAAACTCAAAGTCATCCTTAGGCATTATGAAATGAGAAAGGATACTAGTTCCTTCTAAGATAGTAAAGATAGGTCAAGCTGATGTTTTTTGTTAACTGCCCAAGGGACTCTGAAACAAGCAAGTGGACCAAAATCTTCAAGGTACTACTTCTCGTCAAAAATCTGGACTATGGAGAAAAATTTTGCTGGGTGTTCCTTTCACTCACCACTAGAATGGAAGAAACATGGACTTTTAGTTCATATCTCTTTTCACAGGTACAGAAACAGCTCACAATGCCAAGCATTTTGTACAGTGGCAGCTCTAGGGATTAGGGAGTTAGGTATCTAACTGCCAGAGAAATTAGGCACCTGCACCTAGGTTCCCACAGAAGTTTTAAAATTAATCCTTATTTTGTTTTGACGGTTTGGTCATTTAGTCATTCAACCAGTTATTTGATACTTAAAGTGCACCTACAAAAAGCAAGGCACTGTATTAGGGATGGGGAAGATCCTTTTTTTTTTTTTTTTTTAAGATTTATTTATTTATTTTGGGGGGAGAAAGAGAGCACACAAGGGGGGGGGAGCAGACAAAGAGGGAGAGAGAAGCAGACCCCCTGGCTGAGTAGGGAGCCTGATGCGGGGCTTGATCTCATGACCCCGAGATCATCACACGACCCTGAGATCGTGACCTGAGCAGAAATCAAGAGTCAGATGCTTAACCGACTGAGCCACCCAGGTGCCCCAGGGACCAAAAAGATCTAATCATATCCTCAAACTGCTCTCAGCTTAGCTGGTGAAAAAGCCAAGTACACAAATGATGAGGTAATAGTAACTAATAGTTCCAGGGCAGAGATGAGTAACTTGCTTCTCCCTCTTCATATATTAATCATCATGATCTCTGTATAACTCAGGAGGGCAATGGTTTTGTGTCCATTTTCTTCAGTACTTATAACCAGTACCTGGTATGCAATCAAGATCTGAATGGATATCATCTCAACATGGTTCCTGCGGTAGAGACTTCTAGTGTCCCCCCATACCTATCTCCTTCCAGGCACAGAACAGGAGTATACTCCTCACCCCCTTGTGGTTTAGGTATGGCCACGTGACTAAGTTCTGGTCAAAGAGCTAAAGACAGAATTGACAAGTGTTACTTCTGAGCCAAAGCATTAAAGAGCTAGTCTTCTTCTCCTGCTGCAGAGGCCGAATACAGGCTTTATGTTCTAGATCAGTGGCAGGACAAATCCAATCCACGGCCTGTTAATTGTAAATTAAGTTTTATGGGGATAATAGTTATGCTCACTTATTTACATATTGTCTCTAAAGCCTAAAATGCTTACTGAAGAAAAAGAGGAAACTTTTTGAAGAAAAAACTGGCTGACTCCTGGTCTAGCTGGTTGTGGCAGAGTGTTATACAGGCAAGGAGCGGCACACCCAGCTTCCAGGCCCTTGCTTAGTCCCTTCTGCTGATCCAGAGCTTGGCTGTGACTGCCATCAGCTGATGGAGTATCAGCAAACATGAGGCAAGAAGCCTGATAAAGCTTGCTTCCTGGGGTTTGCCCTCCTGCCAACCATGTGAGGGAGTCTGGTTTAGCCTCCCTACAGAGGAAAGACCACATGGTGAGAGAGATGCCCAGACTCTCCAGCTGAAATCCTCCCTCTGCCAACTTCCAACCGAATGTGGCTGCATGAGTGATCCCAGGCTCATCCTGCAGAAAAATCACCCAAACAAACCTTCAGACTCATGAGACGTTAATCATTTTTAAGCCTCTAGGTTTTGGGGTGGCTTTTTACAGTGGGGCAGACAGAAGGTGATGGAGACTCCACCAACCTGCATCCCTGAGTGACCATGTAGAACAGAGCTCCCTAGGCACAAAGCATGAGCAAGAAGTAAATGCTAGGATTCTGAGAGGCAGCATAACCTAGCTTATACCAACTAATATAATACAGATATTGGTACTAGAAGTAGGGTTCCAGCAAAAACCTAAAATAGGAGTCCTTGGCTTAATGGTCAGGCAGTAGGAATTGATATTGAAAGATATTAAAGTGGCAATTCATGTTATGAAGTAGCAGACATTTAGTAAGACTGTTGTCTGGGATTACCTGATTATAGGCAGATTATAAACCTAATCCAATTGTGCCTCCAGAAGATGAGGTTTGGAAACAAAACATTAGTAGTGTGTGTTGGCTGCTATTGGCTGTCTCTGGCAATGTATTCTGAAGAAGAGATGAGCTCAGGAAACAATTGGCCAGTTTGCAAATAAAAATGAAAGAGAATAGAGAGATTCCAGAAATTCAGGGCCTTGCAAGGCTAGAAATGCTTTTAAACCTCAAACATCAAGAGACCAAAGTTTAGTGAATATGAAGGCAGATTAATACTCTGCCCTAGGGTTACATATAGGCATCACACTCACTGTTAAAACCTCATCAATTGTTAAAGTGACTCAGAAGAAAGTTTAGCTTAAAAGCATAAGTTTGCCACAGAAGCTCTCTTAAATCTAGAGAGAGGCAAAGAAACAAGATAGCACAGAAATATGCCTTGAAAAGGACCATGGATGTGGTTGTCAGTTCATGAATTCTCTGGAATCAAATAGTTCTTGGGAAATGACTACTGCCCAATAAACTCACAAGCCTTGACTAAAAGAGACTGTGATTGCTTGAGACTCAATAATACGAGCTTCAGATGTGACAGA